AACGACCTGACACAGATGGGCTGCGGTTTCTCGCGCGATGATGCCGGCACATTCCTGCGCCAGTACTCCGAATTGGGCATCTACAGCCAGGATCCGTTCCAATCTCTCGACCAGGAGGGTGTTGGCCAGCTCATGCGCATTGCTGTGAGGAAGGGTCGTCGTGTTAAGCCGATGCTGAAGATAGGCATCTGCGGTGAGCATGGTGGCGACCCAGCAACCATTGGGTTCTGCCACAAGATTGGCATGAACTACGTGTCGTGCTCTCCGTTCCGTGTGCCGGTCGCCACTGTGGCCGCCGCTCACGCTGCACTGAAGGAAAAGAAGGACATGGAACAACGGTACAAGAAGATTGCCGCCAAGCTGTAGAAAGACAAGGAAAGAATTATGTGTCTTTGTTTTTTTCTTTTTTTAGTGTTACATTTTTTTTCCTTTATTTTTGGAGTTTTACGTTTTCTTATTATTATTTTCTTATTTGTGGTGTTTACTTTTTTTTTTTGCTATCCAGAGCCTTATTTACATTCTTACGTGCGTATGCGTGGGCGCGAAAGGTGCGTAGGGAGCGACAGTGCGCATTTGTTTGTGTTTGTGTGTGGTTGCTGTTCTTTTTGGTCTTTGGTGGTGAATAGCGGTGGTGGTGTAGTACAAGGTGTGGTGGAGGTGAAGTGTGAAGGTGTGCGGATTCACGAAATGGCTTTTGCACGTGCGCAGTATGTTCTTGCCTAGCAGTTACAGGAAGAGCGTCTTGCAAGGCTTTGTGACGACAACGCGTTTGTCAATGTCGAGGAGGTGTTGAAGCGGCAGCGTCGTGTTGGGGCCTCCGTGAGTGCTGCCAATGTGGAACTGAACTTTTGGGAGTCGAGCGGCACCGCGTCCTCCGCTCCGCCGCGGATTCACCTCAGCCGCTGTCTGATGGAACAACATCGTGCCTATCTCAAGGCGTTGGAGGGCGATCGGCGCAATCACAAGGAGGATGGTGCGTCTTCGTCCGGATCCTCTTCCCTTTCGACATCGGAGGCGGGTGCTGTAGGCACCACCACAAACCGTGTCAAACGGGCCCATGATGGTGAACGTCGACCTAGTGAGCGGAGAAAGCGCGTACGTGGGGAGACGCATGATGGAGGCGGTCATATCAGTGGTGTGCCGCCTGACAGGGTGCAAACTGCCAGCGACGTAGGGCGGGAATGCCATAACTTAAGTGCGTGGTTTCGGTCACGGCGAACTTTCCCGTTGGAGTCGACTCTGCCGACGCCGAGCTACATGGAGATGGCAGCACCCCCGCCGTTATACACAGGTGGGTACCATCTTTGTTCGGTTTGTCTTCTGCCCGCGAGCTACAAGTGTGTGCGGTGTCGCAGAGCGCTCTTCTGCTCCATTGGGTGCCACGTGACACACGATGCAACACGGTGCATGAAGTTTATTGTCTAATGGTGCTGGACAAAAACGGAGTGAATGCGTTTTGCAGGTGGAATTCTTTTTGTGTGCGTGTATTTGCTTTTAGTTGGGGCTTGGTGGGTGCTGGTGACAAACTCCGCCTGCGGTGTTCCCTTTCCCTGGAAGGAAGTGTGAAGGTTGGAGCATATTTTTACGTTTCACATTTCTTTTTTTTTTTTGGTTCCCTCCTTGCCTTTGGGTTCTTGGGCTGCACATTTTGGCTGGAAGCTCCGTCGCGGGGGTGCACAACAGTACACTCCCCGCATGCGGCTTCTGCGTGCTTGCAGAAGTGACAGACAAGGAAGGGAGAAAAAAAAACAAAGTATGCTTGGTATTGGCCAGTTCAGCAGCTCCACCCTCTTTAGTCGTGCGTTTGATTCAACGATTGTTCGAGAGGATCTTCTGAGCCAAAATGAACCACGCCAGCTCACCGCGCTGCGACAGGTGCTCGCCTTTATGACCATTGGAAGAGACATGTCAGGGCACTTTAGTGACGTTGCCCCCTTGTGCTCATCCACAAATCTGACGATCAAACGACTAGTGTACCTGTACCTCATGCACAACAGTCACACCCAGCCACAGAAGGCGGTACTGCAGGCTGGAGCATTTGTAAAGGACACCATTAACAACTCTCCACTCATTCGGGGGGCGGCGCTACGCACGATGAGCTCCCTGCTTATTCCTCCTATGGTAGATTTTGTCACCGCCCCTCTTCAGCGCTGCCTAGAAGACAGTGACCCCTATGTCCGCCGCATCGCCGCCTTTGGTACGCTTAAACTCTTTTACGTGGCTCCCAACGTTTGTGAAGAGACCGGGCTTTTGGAGAAGCTCAAGAAACAGCTCCAGGATGATAATGCATGCGTGGTGGCGTCAGCTGTGGCGGCCATTTTAGAGCTTCGTCAGCGAAATGCCCCGATCGCTCTCGAAGAGGCCCTCGTAGGGAACGTCTCCCGTCTGCTTGAAGCTGCCAGTGAGGCGACTGGTTGGTACCAGCATTACCTTATTGAGGGAGTTGCTATGGCCTTTAAAGGCAATTCACTCGTGTTGGACCTGGGGAAGGCTAAGGAGATCGTTGATGACGTCGTGCCTTTTCTTGCTTCCTTCAACGTCGCCACGGTTATGTCGGCGATCAAAGTTGTCACGTCATTTCTGCTGCAGACCTCTGCTCTCTTTGCATTCCCGGACCTTGGAGAGGATGGGCGCAATGCGGAGGAGCATACGTCTCATCTGCGGGACCGTTACGGACCTCGCTTGGTTGGCGCGTGTATCTCGTTGCTGTATGGGCCCTGCTTTGAGGTGCGATACGCAGTGTTTCGCAACATCCGTTTACTGCTGAAGACATCACTAAACAGTTTCTTTAAGCATCACCTAAGCATTTTCTTTGTCAAGTACGATGACCCCATTTACATCAAGCTGGAAAAGTCTGAGCTGCTGCTTGAGCTCGCAGACACGGAAGTGGGGGAAATAGTTCTCGCTGAGTTCGCGACTTATGTCACCGACGCAGATGAGGAGTTGGTTCGAAAGGCAGTGCGTTCCATTGGATTTCTCGCGGCGAAGGTGGAGCCCCTCGCGGAGCAGTGCGTCGAAAAGCTGCTCGGTCTCATGGATACCGGCATTAGCCACGTTGTGCAGGACACGGCAGTCGTGGTGCAGACAGTTCTCCGACGTTACCCCAATCACTTTGGGAGGGTCGTGAACAAGCTTTGTGAAGTGCTGGATGAACTGAAAAGCCCTGAGGCTAAGGCCGCCGTCGTGTGGGTGATCGGCGACTACGCAGAACGCGTCGAAAATGCGGGGGACATACTGGAGATGTCCTTGGAGACTTTCCACACCCAGCCAGAGATCGTACAGCTCGCACTCCTCACTGCGGTTGTAAAAATTTATCTGCATAGTGACGCCGGGCAACTGGAGTGCAACACCAACTTTCTTCAACGTGTACTGTTAATGGTGACGCATTCGCCGCTGCCAGATGTGCGTGATCGCGCCTTCATGTATTGGCGCCTTGTTAGTAGCGACCGTGAAGCGGCGAAAAAGCTTGTTCTCACCTTAGCAAAGGGCACATCATTTGTGATGGAAAATACGATGGAAAAGCATTGGCTGCAAAGCTTTTTGTTGGAAGTTGGAAGCCTGGCGTCGGTGCTGCATCGCCCCCCGCATCTCATATACGACAACGAGATACTCCTGAACGAGAACGACGAGGACGAGGAAGACGCAAAGGACAATGTTAGGGAGCAGTTTATTCCACCGGCCGCTTCTGTGGAGGGCGCGGCGGGAACGACGGGGGACAATACTGTTGGCGTGGGGCCGTGTATTCGCGACAGTGGGGAGGCCATGCATGAGGCCTTGTCAGCTGACGAAGGTAGCGGGCTGGAGGTGCGTATGGGTTGGTCGCAGTTCGGAAACAAGCTGCTGCTAAACTGCCGTTTCTCCCTCGTGCCCGGGGAAGGCTACATACGACATTCAGTTATACGTGCGCTTCAAATCAACAGGAACATGTACGCGCTTGGGTTGGCGCAGGAATGCCCGGTGGTGGAGCTTGAGCTGGGCCAAAAGGAGCCCGACATGGTGCAGCTGATGACAAACACGAACAATGAGAAATCACCAGTGCGTGATCTGCTCGTCGCAGTCAACGCCGACCCCATCGGTACGCGCTATTTTCTTGCACCCCCCATTCCGCCAGTCATGCTGCTACTTCCCGCCGCTGGCATGGACACGGATTTTTTTGTCCAGCAATTTCGACAGCTTTCGACACCGTCCTGGACGATGCCCACAACGCTCACGCCACCGCAAACGGACCCAACTCGGTACACTTCAAATGCCCTTCGACTACACGGCCTCAATCTCGTTTACACGGACAAGCCGCACGGGTCAGGCTTTGTGCTCCTTTTCCTTTCGGCTGAAACCATTGCTGCGCAAAAACTGTTTATGGAGGTAACCATTCAAGGTAACACCGTCGTGTACCTTGGTGTCCGCTGCAACGATGCACAGGTGTCTCCTGTCTTTGGCGCCTATACGTTACGGGCGCTTTCATCAGCAGAAACGCAATAACACTGGCAAATCCCATACGCCGCACAACCGGGCCAAGCGGCGAAGAAGACAAAAAAAAAAATCGAGAAAAATTAAAGGTGTTTATGTGCAACTCTGCATTGGCGTAAGGCTGGAAACTCCCTAATCAAGCCTCCTCCCCCTCCCACCAAAACAGCGACAGAAAGAGTAGAGTCTCTGCATAAACGGCACTGATAATGCTGTAGAGCAGCACCAACTAGAAACCCTGCTCTTGCAATTGTTATTAATCTTTCCTATTTCTGCTTTTTCTTCCTTGTGTGTGCGCTTTACCGCAAAAGAATTCAACCGTGCAAAAAAAAAGTTAAGCCATTATCTATTAACTATTTATTATAATAACAGGCAAAAAAGAAAGAAAACGTGATGGAATCGAAGAAGTTTGTTTACTACTTCGGTGGCGGGAAGGCTGACGGCCACCGTGACATGAAGGAGCTGCTTGGTGGCAAGGGCGCAAACCTTGCGGAGATGGTGAACCTTGGCATCCCTGTGCCTCCCGGCTTCACTATCACGACGGAGGTGTGCAGCATCTACCAGGCAACGAAGGGTTTGCCGCAGGAGGTGGTGGAGCAGGTGAAGGCGAGCGTGCGCCGTGTTGAGACTGAGATGGGCATGAAGTTTGGAGACGTGGAGAACCCGCTGCTCTTCTCTGTGCGTTCCGGCGCTGCCGCCTCGATGCCTGGGATGATGGACACCGTCCTGAACCTTGGCATTAATAAGGCAACGGCTGAGGCGTGGATCCGCCGTGCACCCCACCTTGAGCGGTTTGTGTATGACTCATACCGCCGTTTCATCACCATGTACGCCGACATCGTGATGCAGGTTGGCCGCGAGGACTTTGAGGAGGCCATTGGGCACATGAAGGAGAAACGCGGCACGAAGTTTGACACCGATCTGACCGCGAAGGACCTGAAGGAGCTGACGGAGGAGTACCTGGTGCTGTATCAGCGCAAGACTGGATGCCCGTTCCCAGAGGATCCGATGACACAGCTCTTCGCCGCCATCAATGCCGTATTCCGCAGCTGGGGCAACCCGCGTGCCGTGGTGTACCGCCGCCTGAACAACATCACCGGACTTCTTGGCACCGCTGTGAACGTCCAGGCGATGGTGTTTGGTAACATCAACGAACGCTCAGCCACCGGTGTCGCCTTTTCGCGAAGCCCCAGCACCGGTGAGAACTTCTTCTTTGGCGAGTACCTTGTGAACGCGCAGGGTGAGGACGTCGTTGCCGGCATCCGTACACCGCAGCAGATTGGTCATGACCTTTCACTCCGATGGGCTAAGAACCACGGTGTGACTGAGGAGGAGCGCCGCCACCGCTATCCATCGATGGAGGAGACGATGCCCGAGAACTACCGGCTTCTGTGCAGCATCCGCGGGAAGCTGGAGCAGCACTACCGCGACATGCAGGACATTGAGTTCACCGTGCAGGATGGCCGCCTGTGGATGCTGCAGTGCCGTAACGGTAAGCGGACGATTCATGCGGCGGTGCGCATCGCCATCGAGATGGTGAATGAGGGCCTCATTACGAAGGAGGAGGCTGTGCTGCGCATCGATCCCTCGCAGGTGGACCACCTGATGCACCCGAACATTGACGCCGGCGCGGCGAAGAGCAGCAAGCCGATTGGCAAGGGTCTCGCAGCGAGTCCTGGTGCCGCAGTGGGTCAGATCGTGTTTGATGCGGAGTCAGCGAAGGAATGGAGCGCACGCGGAAAGAAGGTAATCATGGTGCGCCTCGAGACCTCGCCGGAGGACCTCGCAGGCATGGATGCGGCGTGCGGTATTCTGACTGCGCGTGGTGGCATGACGTCTCATGCGGCTGTTGTGGCCCGAGGTATGGGTAAGTGCTGCGTCTCAGGGTGCGGTGACCTGATCATCAAGGGAAAACAGTTTACGTTGAAGGATCGTGTGTACCGCGAGGGTGACTACATTACGCTTGATGGCTCGAAGGGGCTCATCTATGCGGGCAAGCTGAAGCTGCAGGCCCCGGGCCTGAAGGGCAACTTCGAGACGATTCTGAGTTGGTGCCGTGAGATGAAGCGCCTGGCTGTGCGTGCCAATGCGGACACTCCGAATGACGCGGCCAAGGCCCGCAGCTTTGGCGCAGAGGGTGTTGGTCTGTGCCGCACTGAGCACATGTTCTTTGAGGGTACCCGTATCGACGCTATCCGGGAAATGATTCTGGCTGACACACTGGAGGGCCGCAAGACTGCCCTGCAAAAGCTGCTGCCTGTGCAGCGCGGCGACTTTGTGGGCATTTTCAGGTCGATGAAGGGCCTGCCGGTGACGATCCGCCTGCTGGATCCCCCGCTTCACGAGTTCGTGCCCCACGAGGGTGCGCCGCAGGCTGAGCTTGCACAGAAGATGGGTGTGCCTGTGGAGAAGATCCGCAACCGTGTGAAGTCGCTGCACGAGATGAACCCCATGCTCGGTCACCGCGGCTGCCGCTTGGGCATCACGTACCCCGAAATCTACAACATGCAGGTGCAGGCCATCATGGAGGCCGCAATCCAAGTGAGCAAGGAGGGATGCCAGGTTACTCCGGAGATTATGATCCCGCTGGTTGGCAAGAAGGAGGAGCTGACCTTTACGAAGCACCAGGCGGTGAAGACAGCTGAGGAGACCATTGCAGCTGCAGGCCACCGCGTGCACTACATTGTGGGCACCATGATCGAGGTGCCACGTGCCTCCCTCACGGCTGATAAGATTGCGGAGGAGGCAGACTTCTTCTCGTTCGGTACCAACGACCTGACACAGATGGGCTGCGGTTTCTCGCGCGATGATGCCGGCACATTCCTGCGCCAGTACTCCGAATTGGGCATCTACAGCCAGGATCCGTTCCAATCTCTCGACCAGGAGGGTGTTGGCCAGCTCATGCGCATTGCTGTGAGGAAGGGTCGTCGTGTTAAGCCGATGCTGAAGATAGGCATCTGCGGTGAGCATGGTGGCGACCCAGCAACCATTGGGTTCTGCCACAAGATTGGCATGAACTACGTGTCGTGCTCTCCGTTCCGTGTGCCGGTCGCCACTGTGGCCGCCGCTCACGCTGCACTGAAGGAAAAGAAGGACATGGAACAACGGTACAAGAAGATTGCCGCCAAGCTGTAGAAAGACAAGGAAAGAATTATGTGTCTTTGTTTTTTTTCTTTTTTTAGTGTTACATTTTTTTTCCTTTATTTTTTGGTAGTTTTTACGTTTTCTTTATTTATTT